AAGCCCTTTCCAAAGTGTGGGCTTCCCTGCAGCCCCGCCCCCGGCGCCCAGCGTTCCAGGGTAGGAAGGGGGAAGGGGCTGTGGCAGAGGGAGGCGAGCGGAGACTCACGGCGGGGCACACGGGGGCAGCCCAACTTGCCCAGAGAGAGGAGGGGCGGCCCGGGTCACACAGCACGCGGGGACCCAGGCCTCCTACCCCAGCTCTTCCCGCGCTGCCCCGGTGGTCCCGGGCTTCTCACTGCGCTGCCTTAGCCGGTCGCTAGGGGAGGCAGCGCCTGGCTGGGGCTTCTGGGTGCTGACGGATTATTCCTGCCCTGTGTACAGGCGTCCGGGACAGCCGCGCGGGCCGCTGGGTCACCCTCAGGGCGAACTTGCCTCCCGGAGCCCCCGGCCCGCCAGGGGGCGCTAAGTTGAGGTTCAAGGTAGGATAGGTGGCTGTCTCCAGGGCAGTGGGACTTTGGGCAAGTCCCCTCCTCTTCCTGAGTCCCAGTGACCCTGTCTGGGGACGGGATGTGGTGCAGCGTAAATTCCCTCTCAGTTCTAGTCGTCTCATGCGACATCCACGTGCCGCAGGCAGCCTCCACCTGCCCGACCCCTTGCTTTGGGCCTGGCGGCGAGCCTCCCGCGGTGCCAGGCGCATAGTAGGCCCGCCTCTAAGCTCGGTGTCTTTGGAGAGATAAGTGGGTTTTTCCCTCCTCCCACTGGGGATAAGGTCCAAGGTATCCCGCTTGTCGTGGGCGAGAAACTAGACCGCCGGGCTGCGCACGCTCTGGGGCGCCGCGACCGCAGCAGCTGCAGCCCCGCTCCAGCAGGTGGTTATAAGTCCTGGGCTCTGGAAGTCCTTGGAAACCCCGCTTCCAGGGCGGCAGCCCCTCTGAGCCAAGTCGGCGGGGACACGCCGAGTCCCCCACCCGGGTGAGCCCGCGCTAGCGGGAGAGCCCGCACCGTGCGCCCGGCAGGGTGTCCATGCAGCGCGTCAGGTCGGCGCGGGCCGGGCCTGAAGCCTCAGGCTGCGCAGCTCGCGGAGCCGACCCCGCGAGCCGGTCACTCGGAGCGACCGCTTCAAGGTTACCTGCGAGGCGGGGCCCGCACCCCGACTTGGCCCGAGCTGCTCGAGCACCGAGAGCTGGGTCTGCTTCGCGGCGGACCACGCGCAGGGTTACCCGCGAGACCAGTTATTTTGGAAGTGGGAAGGGTGGGGTAGGGGAACTCGGGGTGCTACCGACTACCTGCTCCCCGAGCCCGACCCTGAGCGCCTAAGGACCTTGAGGGTTTGCAAGCACCTCAGCGCCAAGAGGTGGGAGGTGTGGGGCTCGCGCGAGAGCTCGGCCAGATGTTCGGGCGGCTCCAGATGTGCCTCACGGCGGGGACTGGACTCTCCTCCTCCCCACCCCCAGCCTGGAGCTCAGGTCTGTAAACAAACTCTCCGTCCTACCCCTTCTCGCCCCTTCTGGGACCGGGTCTCGAAGCGAGGCTTTCACCCGCACCCCGCAACTGGGTAGGAGCCGCCGCGGCTCTCTGCCCTCTGCCACTCTCTCCTGCGCTGCCACACACCCTCCGCCGCAAGATCCAAGTCCCCCACCCCCGGGATGGCTCGGGCATGA